TGACGCCAAAAGGCATACAGCACAAAGACAATGCACTATCAAAGTAATGAGTGCATTGTCTTTGAGCTGTACGCCTTCTGGCGACATCTGGTCGAGCACCAATTGGGTCGAGGCTCAAAAGAAAGCCGTCCCTTGGTGTGGACCAATCAGTTTCAAGGACAATGCATATATTATCATAGTATGTTTTTTGTTTGCATTTTGACTGCAGGTATTGTGGTTAATGCAGACATGAATCCTTGTAAAAAGGTTTCAGTTTTGTTGCCAGAAAAAAGGGGAAAAACCCTATTAATACATGTTGGTACTGGCAAAGGAGGTATAATGATGAAACACGTTGTCACGTTAATGGTGAAACAAAATAGACCAACCAAATAAGTAGCGCACAAATACAACACCAAATCACCTGGGCCATACACCATATTTGAAACTAAGCCAGGTTAAGTATAGATCAACATAACCCTAACTCTATTCATAACTGACCTACTTTGGGGGTTACAATGCTAGCAGAAGACAGTGCAGCCAACTCCACAATGTACTACGCTCCCAGCCTCCCCAACCGGTACCAAGCCGTGTGGCCAAGTAACTACCACGACTCACCATGCGTGTGGAGGCCCTCATCCTGCAGTGGATTGACAACATGGGCTGTACGTGTAGAAGATATACTCAACCCACGCTTTAAACAGACACGAGAGCTCGCTCGCCTTAACACATGGCCACAATATCCAACACTGCAACTTCAGCAATAGACTTCGGAGTTTAAGAGGCATTCTCTTGTGCGTGGGTAACAGGCATGCCTGTGCTCTGTACACACTGGACATCCCAGTGATCACCAGGTTAGAGCTAACATTGCAGAGCTCTGGCTCCACTAACTCGCACTGACCAGCGTGAAGTATGGTCAAAACAACCCTGACGAGCCGCACGGCATGGCGAGAGATCCTCATCCAGCAACGGATTGGCAAACAACTACAAACGGAGCTGTGCTAAAAGTTGAACTCAACTGGCTCAATAGCACAAAGACGGGGCTCTTCCCCACCACGGCGTGGCCACAACGTGGCCACAACGTTCAACAACCGACGTTGCAGCAACAACCCCGCCGGCAGCACGGGGAGAGACGTGCCGAGGTGCGACGCCATTGCGCGTGGCTGCCAGTCTCGGCCGTGCTCAGCGGTGAGCCCGGGGACAGAGGAGACGAGAGGGCCACATGGCGCCAGGAATTGAGGACATCCACGATGACTCTCTCCCCCATCCTCACCGCCGCCGCCACCACCCACCGACTACTACACCTCGAGTCTGCCCGCCACGCCAGGCACGACCTCGCGCCTGCCTGTGGCTGCTGCTGCTGCTGGTGGTGGTTGTGGGCCCCTTCCACTCTGTCCGGCTGTCACCCCCTCGAGTGTACCCGGCGCAGCCGCGCGACAAGCAACGTACCGCGACGGTGGCGGGTGGTAAGAGGCGCACGCGTTATGGGAGTACAAGACGAAGCTTCATTGGCGACTGTGGGGGGGGGGGTAAGCTACGCTTGAGGGAGGACGGCACGGGCAGCTTCCAGCCCTGCTGGCGACGAAAGCGCAGGCGCGCGAACGCGGCGCTAGCGCCCCCGACGCCGCCGCCACTGCCGCCACCGCCGTCGACAACGACGACAGGCGGCGTTGACGTCAGCACGTTAGAGAATCGATCCAGAATATAAGGGTGTATCAATTCGTACGCTCCGGCATAAGTGTGATTCAAGAGAATCGATTACGTTTGCGGAACTCCGATATAAATAGAGTGTGCGTGTGTACGTGATGAATCGAATATTGTGAAATATTTCTACTTGACCGGATCGATTATTTCAGAAGCATGAAAGACGCACGTGTGCCTCGTGTCCATGTGTGTAACTCCCCACCCTGTCAATCCACTGCTAGATGAGCGCCTCCACACGCCCTGTGCGAATCGTGGAGGTGTTCTTGACCAGCCTTCACCACCGTGCGCAGCGCGAATTGAAGGCAACAATTTTAATTGTCGCTGCACCGCCCTCCTGGTGACTAACATCGTTGCCCCGAGCCTTTCACGCATGTCCCATGCATGGTGGTCCCTCTTACCCAAGCAGCGCTTATCCAGGCTCAGGCTCGGTTAGCTTCCGAGGTATAACGGGAGGTGATGGGCTCGAGACCCTGACGCCTGTATGTTGCGGGTTTCCGTGTGTGTTCCTTTCCACGTGGTCGCGTGGTTTTTGACCCCCGAGTTTTCCCTCGACATTTAGAAACATACATTGAGATTTTATTGTGGCGCTAACATTGCGTGGCCCAGATCGCTTCTGAATTGAATACCTCAGTGGGCTTTGCCTGGTAGGATGGGGATGGTTTTAGTGTTGTATTTTTGTATTGTTTGTTCTAGCGTTCTTACCCGCCTCTACTGGACATCTGTGAAACATAGCTTTATAGCTCATACGTTAGAGCTCGGTTGGTCTTACCTGATAAAATAAAATATATTTTGTGTATCTACGTGGCTTTACCGAAAGACCCAAAGAATACAAATATAGTTCTCGGCTTCTACCGTGTGCTGTTCGGCAATGACGTCCGACGTTTCGCTCCGCGCAGCTTGAAACTTCTTCTGGAACATAATGCTCAAAGAAAAACAACAATAAAAAAAACTCCCAGCCCTCGCAGCGAAACGTCGGGCACATCCGGCCGGGCACGCCTCCTTGCAGGACCGCCTGACGTCATAATTATCGCCCCCCCCTCCCACTCCGCGAGCCCGTGGACACGTGACCTCGGTGCCTAGCGCGCGCGGGAAATTCAAACCCCCCCCACCCACCGTACCCCCACCCACCCACCGTACCCCCACAGTGTTGTAGCGCACACGCGGGTTTAGTTGTTACCAATTGCGTTCTTGTTTTTATTTATCACGCATTTACTCGTGTATAATTTACATTGATAATTTACATGTGCCCATAATTGTGTTGCTTGCCGCAACATTCTAACAGGGTCGCGAGAAAATTACCGCATTAAAAACAAAAGTTTTACCTCAGAATAGTATGCCATACACGGCAGTCGTCGAACTTGTGTGGAATAGGTTATTGTTTTAGCACCGTTCTGCTCAATACGTTAAACTAGTTACCGGGTGTTCATTTCCAAAAGTTGTGACGTTAATTTGTAACCAAATCACCGCTAAACATATGACCATGGTGGATGGTAACGTATTAGAATTGATAGTGGAGGTGAGAAACTAACATTTGAAGGATGTTTTTTTAGTTTTATGATTACAGTATTCTTAAAACGCGTCAGGCAAATTGGTTCCTATACTGTTACTTTAGTTTTAAAGATTATTTTAATGTTGACAAACTATAGGGTTAAGGTAAAAAAACATGAATTACGTAACAATTTTAAACTGAATTTTGATTTAAAGCTTTCGTGACTGCAGTAATTCATATTCTTAGCTCTTTCGGTAAAGTCACGTTGAAAGGAAACAATAAAATATATATAAAACAATAAAAATATATTTTAACATTTTATTGTTTCCCTTCAACGTGACTTTACCGAGAGAGCTAAGCATATAATTTTAAACTGCGTCTATTGTGTGTGTTGACAAGCAGATCATATACAATTCATGCATTATTCAATAAGTGTTCTTTATTTGGTTAATAGAGTGAAAAAATGTATACATATACTTCCTCTTGTGACCAGAATATTACTTCATTAATACATTATTTTTGGCCACGGTATCGTTTGTATTAAACGACCCCTTTTACACAATAATATGAATGCGTTCATAATAAAGGTTCTTGGGTTAGATCGCGTTTATTTATAAATGTGTCGTAACCCTCCACCACCCGACACGGCCAATCAGCAAAAAAAAAGTGTCACGTTGACAAAGACAAATAATTCACTACTTCAACGTGACACCTTTTTTTTTTGCTGATTGGCCGTGTCGGGTGGTGGAGGGTTACGACACATTTATAAATAAACGCGATCTAACCCAAGAACCTTTATTATGAATAATATTGGTCGCGAAAGCCTACGTGTTAATATGAATGCGATTAACACAAACACTTTGACCATCTTTTTTCTAAATAGCATCTATGAAAGACAATAAATCTAGCTCAATTTGGCTACACCATAACCAGTTTAAAAAATATGCAACATCATAAATATATATTTTTAACATTTAAAAAATATATATTTATACATGAATCTTGACTTAAAGCTTTCGTGACTGCAGGAATTCATATTATTTGAGTCTTTCGGTAAAGTCACGTAGATAGCGATCGTCATCTTCCTCCTGATGACGGTCGCTTGTGTTGTGATCGAAACGTCGTAATCTTTGGTTTATTTTATTTTCATTAATTTGAACCTATCTACGTGACTTTTACCGAAAGACCCAAATAATATTTATACATGAACTATCTTAAAGTTATATTGAAATCATTCTACGTGGTTAATGCTGGACGTTTGTAGGCCGTACACTTATAGTAGTTTCAACGTGATATTAACACACATACAATAGTAATGTCGACCTGTATGTCCAGGTCCTAGGGTGCATATGGTTGCAGAAGGCTCAGGTTCAAAATCAACATCTGCTGCAGGATTGTTTGAAAGTGTTCGTCGGTGCTGACGAGGAGGGCACACGTTCTGAAGAAACGTTATTCAAAATTGCAGGTGTTTTCACAGACTCCCAACGCACAAGCAAGCTGTTAGGGTATAATGTAAAGTGACAATATATTCCTGCGTAAATGTTACAATTGTTCATAAAATTGTGATCAACTGAAGATAGCTAGCTGTTCCACTCATCACTGAACATTGCTCTAAGACCGATTATCACCCTCTTTGCACTTGGAAGAAGACGCATTGGGCCAAGTTTATCTTTAATGCATACACACATAATTCAGTCCGTTAAGTTATCCGAAGTGTTTATTCAGGACTAAAATTATCAAAATCTTACACAACACTAAAGTAGTTTGTAACAAGGATTAAAAAAAACCTCACATGGTTCTCCCCTCATTATTTATTAATGCCCCACCACCTAGAATTCCATTGCTTCAAGAATGTCATTTTTTCCTCTGTCATCTAAATCATAATTTTTTTGCTTAGCTGTCGATTCGTTATTATAACTTTCAGTTGCAATTATCATATATGCTTGTCTGTTTACATATTAGTGCAATAGTCACCCTATTTTTATATAAAATTTCTTCAAATTAGCTGTAATTGTACTACTATCAGTCGAAACATAATCTGCCTGAGCCAACTTACACTGCAGGAATTTTCTAACATTGATTTATATTCATGCAATATTTTAAATTTCTAATATTAGAGTTGCTCTGATTTATACTTAGTCAATGCTGTACTTTATTTAATTTGTTTTGCTTTTGTTAGTTTTGTGACCCAGGTCCCTCATGCAAATGAGACTATCCTGGTCACCTGAGTTCTCATCTGATGAAACAAACGAACTAGGCTTGAGAGACACAACTGGAGAGCACTTTGGAGTTTGTATACTAAGGGCAGTTATTGACAGTAGACCAGCATAAACATTTTTAAATAAGGTGATTTTGTCAACTAAATTTTACCATTAAAACAAGACACCATTGTTACTAAAGTTAGAAATACTTTAATCAGTTTATATTACAAGCTTATATATGGATATAACGTTTGACTTTAATGAAAAGAAAGTGAACACAATCTGAAAAGTTTGAAAACGAACATGTAGAGATGCGCTCTTCAAATTACGCTGAGAAACAGAAAGAACACATGAGAGCATATTCAAAATAGAAATCTATTGACTGTTAACAAAGTAAGTGGGCATGGTCAGGACACATCACAAGAATGGACGATGACCTGTGGTGAAGACTAACAACGGAGCAGCAGCCAAAGTAGATTACGTTCTCAAGAGGATCTCCATTGTGGAAATCGAGCAATGAGATCAGCTCTGGTGCAGGAGCGAGATGAAATGTGGAATCACGTGTTCATGAAAGGTAGTGACAGCCTGGGGAGGCCTTTATCCAGCAGTGTATAGTTCATGGCTGCTGATTATAATAATAATGAAATGTAAAAATAACACTGAATGTCAAATTTTCCTTTGTCGATTAGTTCAATATTCAGCATGCTGGCTAACAGAGAAGCTACTGCAGGATCTCGTGGCAGGTAAATACACAGCAAGGCTTGTTTTTCCATTATGACAGAAAATGATGACAAATTAAATGTGTACAACTTGCATACATTTTTGTAATTCTTTTTGTAATATTTTTTTTCAGAAGCTCCAGTTATATTCTTGAAGGAGCACAAACTTACCACTTCTGATCTCCATGCAGCACCACAGACTGCCATTACCATTGCTAACAGTGGTGAAGGAATTTTTAGTTTAGAGTTTAAGGTAACGATAATGTCTAAACAGTCAATTTGTTGAAATTCAAACTGAATCAGTAAAATGCATCTTATCATTAAATATCATTCACAGGTTATCGCCATGAAGTCTAAAATGCTTACTCAGTGCCTTGGAATCAGTAAGCACCTACATCGAATAAAAATTGTTCAGCCTCAGGTATGGTACAGTTATTCTGTGAACGACTTTCAGTTCCAATCATAACATGCCATGGTATAATATTGTTTATAATTGTGTAAATGTTTTTTTTTCCCAATGCTTTAGGTAAATATGGCACTTACTGTCAACGTGTGTGAAAAATATGAGGACACTTTTGGGTAAGACAATAAATGTGTTGTCTTGATTACAGACAACTGGCGCCTCGACACTTGCATCAGATGATTTGCATGTGTAAATTTTATTTATAGGCATTAATGTAATCCATTTTTCTGCAGGGAGACTGATGACAAATGGATAGTGTTGAAAGAAAACAAAATGCTCATCACAAGTGTTCACCATTACATTGGGTAATTACAGTAGTTACCTTTCAACAAAAAATAATGTTTTGAATGACTTTAAAAGTTACATATTCGTGATATTTCAAGCAATAATACTATCCCAATGAAGCCCAAACATAATAATAAATTACCTAGAATGGATATATTACTGTACATTATGCTGATTAAAATATAAAAATGGCTCCATTATATTTATATTCTGTATATATTAGTCATGGTTTTTATATATAAAGTTTATTTAGAAATTTAAACTCATAATGAAATAATAAACTATAATTGTAGGCGATAACAAGTCACTGAAGAGACACATTTTGGCCCATGAGAGGGTGATGTTGAGCCACGAGTGGTTGCTAATAGATTATCTTTCAAAAAAATCCATAATATCTACTTATTTATTTATTTCCTGCAGCAAAGAGTATGTTGAATTCCTCAAGTTCAAACTACAAGTTGGAAACCCAGTTGAACTAGCAGGTTTGAAGTCTAGTTCTGGTGAGCCATTTCGAATTAAAATTACTCCAGCTACCGCCCTTCTGACTCCAAAAGAGAATTCCTCCACTTTCTCCAAAGTTGCAATATCCTTTTGCTCGTTTTTGAATTTACTGCATGTTATAATAATCTGAGAATATATCTGAAATGTTACTTCATAGTATGATGGGCATCATGCAGGGATCACAAGATTGATGCCTTGTTTTCATGCCCACTTGGAACAGGGATCTGCCAGCCCAGTAACAGCCCAGCTCTGCCTCAGGAACTGAAGAATGTGATCCATTGGTCCCCATATTTCATAAGAAATCGAGGCTCCATCGGCTTGGCCCTCCTGCACCATTCCCCCAACCATTTCCATCTACATATGCATGCAGCTAGGGGTGGTGGTCACCAAGCAATATAACAAAAAAATCTAAGTTTATTTTTCACGAACATTAACATCTAGACCTTAGATTACGTTTGGATATTTTGACACCTGTAGCTATTTGTGCTAGGCCTGCATTGCATTGTATAGCATTACTTTCACTTGTTGACCCAGGTTAATTTTGCAAAAGAGACTTAAAGCATCAATGGGTTCTCACCTGGTGAAATAACATCAACCAAACAATTCTAAGTTACTTATATTTTTGTAATGTCCTGCCAACAATTTTTTACATGGTTGTGGAGACATGCATTAAGCGAATTATGTAATTGTGACATGGGCTCTCTGGCAGCTCTCAGTTCCATTATGGTGTAAGCAGTTCCTGGTGGTTGTGGAAATGATTTATAGGAGTGATTAGTTAGGGCATTCATTTTTGGGTTTACCTGGGTCCTTCATCTCTATTTTACACTGGTCCACAATGATAAAATTGGCATGTGTTAATGGGTGACATGACATCAAAACATCTGTAAATGTAACCACTTATCTTTATTTCTTGTCTCCAAGTCTCTCGTCTCTCATTTATCTCATTTTCATTTTACCTGTGAGGATTTAGGGTTGCGTTATCAGATGGCAGAGAAAATTCCCAGTTACAGGCCATATTGTGTAAATATTCTGCAAACTAAGAATGTTTTGTGATGTATGTGTAAAGTGATGCAGAGCTTGAATGATACACATTACTTTCACGTGTTCTCCTTCATATAAATAATACTGGTATTGTAAATACATTTTGGCAATTGTTTGCAACACGTATACATGACGGAATGCATTAAGGGATATAAAATGCTGAACGTAGATTTTCCTAAATTATAAATACGTATTTGCATATTGCCCAGGAATTTGCCCCATGTTTGAATGCCAAGATTTGACATTTTTTGAAGACCCGCAAACCCTTGCAAAATGGAATGAGTTTCACCAAGAGAGCTTGTTATTAGAAAAGAACAACATGTATATTGAGGGTATGTATATCTTTACATTCGGTGTTTATTTTTTTACTTTAATATAAAATACTTGGAACTCATTCCAAATGAATGTGATATAATACTTGTGTCACAAATATGTACAGGATTCATAACTAGAGGTCCTTGTGTTATATAATTGCGAATGTATGTGTTGTCTCATTAGAAGTACAGCATTGTACTGTACATGTAGTCGACTTATATTTACTGCACTATTAATTTATTGAAATGTGATTTGAATGTTTTTGTCTAGGTGTGGCACATCCTGATATTCTGTTCAATGTTGGTGAACCTTCAAATGAACAGAGTGATGCAGGATATAAATCAGTCTTGTTAATATTTTTGTTTTTTGATTTCTTCAGTGAGCTAACTTCAAGCTTACATAATCTCAGAGGTCAGTTATGAACATGACAGTTGCCTTTACTTTTGTATTTTTAAATACATTATCGATCGTCAAAGTAAAATAAACTTAACAAAATAACTAAAACATTGTAATCTTCGTATTTATTTAATATACTTAGTGCGTACAGTCGGTTTGTGTAAAACATACATCTGTAAAATTAACATTGTGTAATATACTGTACTGCGTATAATTGTTTGTCAGTTTTGTTGAAAGACACAATGCAGAAATTACCGGAAGTTCTCAAGTCGAATCAAAGTAGTATAAAGAATGCAATTCACGATACCTTAGAGAAGGTCCTTGTTCCTCAAAAAAGACAAAATAAGGTAATAAAGTACAACTTTAACGATGTGTCGTCCATTTGTGGGTTCGTCATCTTGCGTTTTTCAATTTCAATGCATTTATAGTTTTTCACTGACAATAACGAAAACATTGAATGATTAATACAGTAGCTTTTTACCACATTATACTTGAACTTGTATCAAAATATATATGTCACTCTTGCATAAAAAAATGTGTGTTTATAATAATTGATGTGCTACGTGTATGTACATTCTGCAGATGCTACTCAAAGCCATCTTGGCTATTCCACTTCTTGCTGAATCGCTACATGGCATAGTGACGAGGAGTACACACCAACCGTTTCGTGAAAGATACTTCAGAGAATTTAAAGTAAATCAAACATTTGTAAATTGTTAAATATACTTTCATATACGTAAAGTATCCCTCTCAGCACCATCAATTACATTTTCACACCATTTTAGCAACATCAATAATAATAAAAACAAGTGATCTACTTTACATTGCTTCATATGATGCTGTCTGGAATAATAAGATACAAAGTATATAATTGTACATGGTTTTCTTTGTTCCAGTGCTCTGATTCCCAAGAGTTAAGCATTGCAATCCAAGACTCTCTAATAGATATTGCTGGATCCAGCATGGGGATTGACAAAGCGAAATTGAAAGCAGGAGTACGTAAATTCCTTATATCAACTGCCAATAAGACACTATAACTAATGTAAACAAGCACCTAGAGCTGTCTCAGTTCTAGTGATTTGTTTAGCAAGGCAATCACATCTGATAACATTTTAAGTATGCAATTGGTGCTTATCTTTACTCTATTTTGCTTATGATTGTTGACAGATCATTCCACATTTCGTCACCAAACCCAGCAAGACAGATGGCCTGCCTATACAAAACCCCCTAGAAGAAATGCAGAGCAGCTGCAAAAATATTAGCCAGCAAGAGGAAAGCAGCACTTTTTATTCAGGAAACATTCCAGAAATGGATCAGCGTGTGCCTTTAGCCTTTGATACTAATGGTGCAGAAACAAGTGCTTCTGAAAATTACAGCGATCCTTTATCAAATGCAAGCTGTCATAAGCAAAATTGTGAAAATTCATCAAAATACTGCCATAGTGCAACATATAGTGACACAGAGCTGTCAACTGAAACTAAGACTGTTTTTACATACAAAGATTTACACAAGGTGTCCAATAAATTATCCACAACCAAACAGGTTGAAGATATGCATGAAGTTTCATCAATTGGATTAAGTTTTCAAAACATCTCTGGAAGCCTTGCTCTTGAGTGTAAAAATAAATATTTTCCAACGTCAGATATGTTTGAAGAAAAAAACGAGACAACACAGAAGACCATTTCAATGCACAAGTATTCTCCAAAAACAAAGAAAATGTGCTTAGAGCAAAACAAACACAAGTCATTGGCATGTTCTGTCCAAGGGGACAAACGGTGCAGGTGTGAATGGCAAGTTGAATAACATCCATTTATACTGCAATAGGATTTGTGAAGGGAGCTTGGAAGATACAGGTACGTTTTTGCACGTAACACTAACACTATTTGCGAAAATATATACTCAATTATATACTGTGCAGCCCTTTGCTAATCCATTACTGGAAGAAGGCCTTGCCACTGATATTAGTTGTGCCCAGTAATCAAACTCAGGTCACTGGAATACTTTGCACAGTATGCTAACCATTGCACTCATGCCCCTCTACCCTCCCCACCAACTCCCCTCCTTTTATACTATGGTACATTTATATTATGAAAGTACTGTAAGCAATTTTACGATCGTTCATCATGAATAAGGCTGTGAATTTATTTTACATTTTCAGATATAGGCTGGAAAAGCACTTGGCTGGAAGATTCTACTTGATAAATGTAATTTTAAAGCAACAAGCCTGGTTAATTTGAATAGTCAGTCACTGATTAATTTAATTATTCCTATCATAATAAATGTGCAGAGACATGTGTTCTTACAGTAACATTGTTACATATTTCTGTCTACTTTTGTACGGTCACCTGTGAAACTCCATTCCGTATGATTACATCATTAATGAATAATTTTGCAAAATACCTTGTTGGAAAAAAAGATACATATGGAATTAGGGAATATAGCATAGACCTATTTTAATCCCACTGCAATAACATATGGAAGAATTTCATTCTTCCACTACAGGACGTTGTTTTACATTACATTAGCTCGGCTATTCACTGCATAGGTATAATGAAGCATATTTCTCTCGTGGGGATTCCACATTTTTTTCCTAGCAGAATACACAATTCACATCAGATAACTATGACTTACACGTGTTCATTGATTTTTTAAAAAAATACATTGATAGTCTGTTGGACACTGCCTGTGTTCTAATTTATATGTAAAAAAGTTAAATGTTACTTCGATATTGTAATGTATTTAACTTATTTCGTGTTACGTTTGTTTTAAACTCGTCACCTTTTTTAATGACTGTTTGCTGAATAAATGAGCTCTTGACAGGTTCCTCGACATTTTCATTAGAATTTTGTAAAAATTTTAACGTTACTTTTTTGAATTGGTAATTTTTAGCACTGATAATCCTGAGGCTACAAGTAGGTCAGAATCATCTCACTCATGAGGAACACATTTGGCTAAAGTTAATACAGCACTATAGCAATTGGCAGATATCTAGAGTGACTACTGTAGATTCAATTTCGTTTTATTATGCTTGGTAATTATTTAAAATTCTGTAAAATAAAATAAATTACAGTCAACGTGTCCATATGTTATGTTGCATGAAGAATAACGTTCTGTTTGTTTCCAGTATGTAATTGACATGTAATTGACGTGCCTCCAGATAATATATCCAGCGTCATTTCTAATTCATGTGATGCAGCTAAATGATGCCCAAAGAGATTGTAACTTGCTCACCCGCTCATGCTGGACATCAGTGAGCTAAATAGCTTCATAGCTGATCGGTTTCCTTCTGCAGTCTCAATAAAGATTCTGTGCGGTGGCTCCACCATACCGTGGAGAGGTGTGCATCCCGTATACATATTCTTGGGTCTTTCGGTAAAGTCACGTAGAAGGAAAATAATAATGTAATAAAAATAAAACATAACAAAATATTATAATAAAATGTTATTTTATTATTTCCCTTCTACGTCACTTTACCGAAAGAACCAAGAATATGAATCCCTGCAGTCACGAAAGCTTTAAATCGAAATCCCGTAGACAGTTGAACCTTATAGCGGTACCCCGGGTACCATAGAACCCCGGCTCTCGCATAATGTCCGTGATGCAGTCATTCTTAGTCAATTGACTCATCTCGACGAGCTGTACACGATACACTATTCAACGTTGCATTTTTCGATAACGGATGTTTTTTATGCAAATGTTTGGCGAGGATGTGCTTCCCACAGCTGGTCTGCAATGAAGTTTGATTCGAAAGTCTTGAAGTCCTCGATCTCATCAAAGAGCGCTGAGAAAGGCAGATAATGGCCTGGATTCCTAATCACCAAGATCCCACCCGATCAACTGGTGCATACGAGCGTTCAGGGTTTCAGCGCAAACGTCCTCGCTGCGCTTCGACATCGCGGAGTGGCCCTGATTTCGGATTGATTGGTACCCCAGTCGCGAAGTTCAGTACACCCCTGGAAAAAAAATAGTGTCCCAGAAATGAAATAATGAATTGCCTCGGGTACCCACATAAGGATCAGTTTTTGGTTGAGTGTTGACGCTGCCCCTTTGTCTATGTTTTGTATTATAATTATCTTATGACGTTCTAAAACTCGTGGTGTTAAGAACTCAACACTTGCTTATCATTATGAGACCTCCTTTGCCAGTAACAAGATATAGTAATAGGTTTTACCCTTTTAACCGGCACAAAAACTGCTTGTGTTGTGGTCATTGCAAACATGATGCCTTGAATAAAGGTGTCAGTTTTTGTGCCAGTTAAAAGGGTAAAATCTATTACTATACTTGCTTATCAATCAAATCACGCGGGAGTTGAGAGGGGGGGGAGGGGCAATTATCGACGTCACCAAATTTCTCACTTGCTCATTGGCTCGTTGCCGCGACAACCCTCAAGTTCCCGCCTTTATTTATAGCTCTCAAACCAATAGCGTAGGAAAGGCGATCACGTGGGGGCGGCGGGGGGGGCGTGTGTATGCAACGTCATTTTCCCGGGAAAATTTTCGCGCCAAATTTGCCCCCGCAAGACGTGACGAGCAAGAAGAGAAGGCGCCGGCGAGAAACTTGCTTCGCTTGCCAAGTGGAACGGAGGCTTAGAGGAGAACTCCGCTCAACATGTCGGGCTTTGACGATCCCGGAGTGTTCTTCAGCGACACGTTCGGCGGGGACGACAATCAGAACGACGAGGGGAAAATTCGCCGTTCGCAGGCCAAGAAGAGGCTGCGCGAGTTCCTGCGCCAGTTTCGCATCGGCACCGACCGCACCGGCTTCACGTTCAAATACAGGTCTGGCCTGCTGCACGAACCACCTCGCCGCATTATTACGAAGCCGTGCGCGTAGTGTAGCGCAAAACAACCATAAATCCGTCAATAACAGTAAACGCGAATATTTAAAATAATAATGCCGCGTTAGAAGGCGCGCGTCCGCCATCGCGTGGTGCTGAGGGATGGCGGGCGACTGGGGTGAGACCTTCGCATCCAGCAGCGGATTGAACATGTTGATGTCGACGAACAGTCGTGTCATGGTGTATAATGTGGCTCGCGGAGCACCGAGGGATATACGTGCTGTCAATCCGCCGCTAAGTGGAAGGCCTCGCCACGCGTCGTTTCGGTCATCGGCGCTGTTTGACCATACTTCACCACCCTGGTCAATGCGGGTTTGGTGAGATGCGCGTCTCCACTATCGGCTCGGACACGACCGCTCTAAATGGTAGCCGTAGCCCCAACTCTTGCAAACTTGACGGCTTAAAAAGTGCCCCCCCCCCTTGTATGACAACTCAACTTCGCCTTGTTTCGTGGTCGTTTCGATGTACTGCACTGTGCGTGTTTGGCCAAAGCTTGCGCCCTTCTACCCATTATCCGCAGGCAATAGAAAGTTAAAATCCAGCCATCCTCAATCCAATAGTTGAATGGTCTCTCCACCCCATGTGGGTTCTGCTTTTTGTTTTAACACCAAAACGTCACCAGGCTCTATTGCGGACTTGTCATTAGGGGGATGTATTGCACAGGATTTCCGATTGACTCCTCCGATGAGCACGGTTGTCTACGTACGGTGCTAAAGAGGTTCAACATACGTACATGCATACATACGTACGTACATGCATACGACTGTCCAAAAATCTCCGTCACCACTGATGGTAGCTGTGGCCGGGGAATCAAAGTCGGGTCACTGAATATTTAGAACAGCGTGCTGACGACCACTTTGCCCACAGGGCACATGATTTCTACAATATCCACTGTACTCCTTCTGTGTGTGTGTGGTGACCCCAACGCTGAGCAGGGATGAGCTGAAGAGGCATTACAACCTGGGCGAGTTCTGGATCGAGGTGGAGCTGGAGGATCTGTCGAGCTTCGACGAAGACCTGGCTGACACCCTGACCAAGCAGCCCGCTGAGTTCCTCCCCTTGGTACGTCCCGCTGCCGGGCATCAGCCCTCGCCCTATATGTCTAATACTCCTCACAGTCTCTTGCCATCACCATCCTGTGAGCTGGGAATCATTTGTCCTTGTCCCACTCCCATACCATTTTACGTCTACCCCTTGCTGTATAGTCCTCCATTGAGGTGTACATTTTGTTAAAATATTTAACCGAAATAATTTTCATCTGAGCTCAATTATAAATTAGCCACACGTGGCTATACTATGCATACATCTAATTTATCAGCTTCACAAAGGTTGCATCAATAAGGCAACATTTGTGGGGCATGTAATGAGACGAGAAGGCTTGGCTAAATTGGGCATTACTGGTAAGTTTGAGGGCAAGAGTTGGAGAAGTCGACAAAGAAGTGATCTTATGAACAATGCATTGACGTGGTTTAGTTCACAAGCAATGACAAAGTGCAGCATGCCACAAGAAAATGAGGCCCAGGCAGAGATTGAGATCCAAGACTGCCCCATTATGATGATGACCAGACAGAGATTCCACATCGCTCCTCCAGACTCTAGTATCAGTTCAGATTAGCACGGTTGGCTACGTGCTGTGTGAAAGAGCTTGAACCATACATACAGACTGGCCACTGGAGTTTATCAAACCCTCGTCACTGCCACGGTTGTTGTGCGTCCTCCCCATCCTCTCCCCTCGCCGTGCCTGTCGCGCACAGTTTGAGGAGGCGGCACAGGAGCTGGCGGACGAGGTGACACGCCCTCGTCCTGCCGGTGAGGAGCAGGTGCAGGACATCCAGGTGATGCTGCGCTCCGAGGCCAACCCGTCGTGCGTGCGCAACCTCAAGGTAAGAGCGCCGTTTGCTGTTGTCCTTGGTGGAACCGAGCCGGGTGACTCCGTGCTGCGTTGGTGTAACCCCGCGAGGCGCAGCCGTCCTGTGCCAACGGGCAGTCGGAGCTGGTGCAGAGATGACAGACGAGAAGAAATTTGGGATATTTCCCGGGAATGTTAACCGTACAGAGTGGACCTATTGCCGAAGGAGCAAGACATTGCATTGGTGTTTGCTTATATTTGCTTTTATCTGTTAAGGGTTATTTTCCTCGTTTACCAATCTTCTGCATTAACATACAAATTGATTAGTTGCACACTACAAATAACTGATGATTAGTAAACGCTTCCAATGTAAGGTAGAGGGCCCTGATTCAAATTAAGGTTCTCTTATGACACATGCATGATTCATTTAAGCAAGTAGGAATTTGTAAGCAAGGTAAAACATTTGACCATGCTTCAACTTTATGCTTGACCTTATCGGTGAAGGAGGAAAAGGGGGGTGCTCAGGGACTGGTTCAGGTATAACTCTCCACGGATGTTAGCCGTGGCCAAGAATCAAACTCGGGTTGTTGGGTTTGTAACACTGTTCACGAAACACTGTGCCACTGCTCCCACCTGGGTAAACATAAATGAGAGTAAAACAAGAAAACACACGTGCCCCGTTGGAATAAAACTGGGATCTTGACTTGTCGAACATCCGCTAACCTCCGACACTGCCCTGCAGTAACACCGCTGTAAAAGCCTTTTAAATGTGTGCGTTCTCACCGCTCGTCCCTTCGTTCGCCCCCCCCCCCCCCCCCCCCCCGCCAGTCGGAGCAAATGGCGAAGCTCGTGAAGATCCCAGGCATCATCATTGCTGCCACGGCCATCCGCTCGAAGGCCACGCGCATCGCCATCCAGTGCCGCAGCTGCCGCAACACCATCAACAACATCCCCGTGAAGCCCGGCCTCGAGGGATATGCCATGCCTCGCAAGTGCAACTCGTGAGTGCGGCGCTCCCGTCATGTCTGCCAGCGAACTGGGGGTGCCCTGCAGTGGCTACGCCTGTATATTTGGAGTTTGCATGTTCTACCTGTGGTCGCGTGGATTTTTCTCTGGGTCCTCCAATTTTTCCCTCCAAATTTTAAAACATGCATTTTGAGTATTTGGCTGCTATAAACCTCCACGTTATAAGCCACTTGATCTATCATTTCTGTTCAGGTCGCTTCTGAAAAAGTTAAGTTTAACTGTCGTACGCAGTGCAGGGTGTGCACAGTTATGCAAGACACTCGTATACAAATTTCACGAGTCATAAAAGTTCAAAACTGCCCACGTCTTAAATGAGTTTTTTCTTTACGACAGTAATATGCATATAACAACCATTGTATGTAGAGGAATATAAAACAACAATATACAAAAGTAAAACACCAGCTTGTCATGGAAATCGCCAATATACAGTAAATGTTTACGTAAGTAAATTTTTAAGAAATTGGCTCTTCAAAGCATAACTGCTGGGTTAAAAAGATCAAAAGACACTCACTTCACCCAATTACGGCAATTGCTCACTGGTGGTCAGTTGCCTCCTTATCACTCGTCTGTAGCTGCTGTCATCGGCACTGTTCCCGCGAACGCCACTCATTGATTCCTCAACCCATGTTGAGGACTCGGTGACCAGACCGTGAATGTTCCATCTCATCCACAC